CTGGGAAGAGGAGGATACCCTCATCTGAAGAATTAGTCTACCAGACTGGAAGGACCAGTAGTCTGATCTAGTCAGGCAAATTCTATGACCTATACAACATTGTTTGATCCACTTCTTAAGGGCAGAACTAAAAATAGGCTTTCACTTTGGTGCATGCAGACATAAATCTAAAAGGACATTCTCCTAAACAAAGCCCGAGAGGCATTATCCTCCACTCCACTTCATTCTCTATTGCTTGCAGGCCAAGTACATCTCATAAAAAAGAATGAATTCCTAGAACATCCTACGTTGAAAGGGAAAAAATGTTGAACCATAAGACACTAATAATATCAGCAGAAAAGACTGTTTGTTATGCTATCTGAGTGTAACTGAGCATAACAAGAGCTCTCCTCTACATTATATGTGGCTAAATACTAACACAGAGGCAAAAAAAAAGAGGAATCACACACAAACTTTCTCACTGTGCAGTAACTGTGATCAATCTAAATATATCTATTAGTTAGCTTCTAAATGGATGAAACTATGTTCACATAGGCTGAAATTCACCCCTCTGAGGATGGCCAGCACAAGGCTTATTTATTCTACACCATTTACATGCCACATAAGTCCTATTTTTTAATACTTAAGTGAGACTAAAGTGGTGTATAGGCCTTATGCTGGCCCTCTGCACAAGGGTGAATTTCACTTATGCGCTACAGTGCAGTTATATACTCCATAGTAGTAGATCATGGCTGAGCCATCTACAATATATGCCAGTTGCTAGAGCTATTGTGTAGTGAAGTGGAAGGTAAATTGACTTAGTCAGTCCACAAGACAGTTAAACAAAATGGTTCTTCTGTTCACTGCCTTTCTATTCAGCAGGTAATTCTGATTAATGATGCAGCAAATCCACCTTTCTGTTACTTTAAAACATGGAACTTCAAACAGCCTTCTTTAGGCCTTTCCTACCATATGGTGGAGAAAGAGATAAAGACATTAAAGAATGGCAGGAATTGGAATTTACACATTAGGATGTATTGTAGAGGTTTATGAAAGAAATCTGAGGTTTTCTGAATGTTTATCCAAACTGGAAGAACCAGTCTGAATCAAACTATGAAAAACTATATATATTGGTGTATGTATCATAATGTCTGTAACAACACGTAGGTGATGGAACTACGGTGTGGGGGGTGGTGCAGCACCCCCCCCCCCCCCCCCCCCGGCTTGAAGGGTTTCCATTATATACAGGGTTTACAGTTTGGTTCAATGGTTCTCAGCACCCCCCACTATAAAAATTGTTCCAGCACCCCGTAACTACCTGTGTAAAACAGCATATTCAGCAAAAACACACACCTGTGTTTTGTACTATATAGAAAAGGAAGTCCTGAAAGAACCCACTGCATTTGTGAGAGGACAAATATTGACCCTACTCCTCTGGGCAGATTACAATTGAGGTACTTGTATTTTGCTTACCTACATTTCCCTTGCAGTTCCATTTAGAAAACACATGTATTCACTTCCTGTTCTGAATTGTTTTGTGGTGTTCTGTGAACTACTGGACAACTGCTGTTTTGGGCGGGTTTTTCACTCCAAATATGGGTGCATTTCAATGACTGATGAATTGATAATTGTGTGTAGTATGTAACTGTTTACGTTTGTAAAGTATTTGAGATCTTTCAGGATGAAAGACAAAATCTAAATAGCAGATCTACTGATACTGATGGAAAACAATGCTGGGATGTGTATGTAAACACAGTTGGCTAACTAATTTCATGGATATTGGTTATCCTAAAAATACCACATATAATTTAATAACAGATATTTGGAAATAAAGAATAAATATTAGTGAATTGAATATCAAAGAGTATAGTAGGGACATATTCAACTCTAATTTCTACTTGCTGCATCAATAGTGAACAAAGGGTGTCAACATGGCTCACACTAGATCCTGCTGGCAAAGGACGTGTTGGACAAGGAAGGCAGGGTGGAATATACAATTTACCGCTCTGTAGAAAAGGAACAATATGGACCCTGTCTGCCCTATGCAGCCCACCTTGGCCATATGTGCTGTAATGTGCTCTATTTAGTTCTACCATTGAAGAGATGATGCTTTCATATTCTGAAGTAGAATGCAGCCACTTGTCTCCAGAAATTAGGTGGAATGAACATATTACACTGGTACTTTCCTGCTCAACACTGGCTACCTATTAGCTTTTGGGTGCAATTGAAGGGGTTGATTGTGATCTTTAGGACCTTAAATGGTGTAAGACCCTGTTTTCTAGGAAACTGCAACCTGCCTGAGGTGAAAATAAGTAAAGAGGGAACATATGGCAAGAATTAACTGTTCATTTCTAGACCTACATGTTTTTGAGGTAGAAGTATTCCAGGGAAATAACACCACATTGTCTGGATGTTAGTTAACACCCCTAATGTGCACTTTCAACCTTAACAACTTCCTAACTAATAGTTAACTCCTAGTTTTTATTGCTTAATAATAATATTCTGCCCCAATTACCATTTACACAAAATTCTGTGTAAGATATGCACTGAAAATGTCAGTATCTAACACAGCTCTGATTTCTGTGGCTTTTCAATTATTTTATATGTTGTTTTTGTAATTTATTTTTAAAAGATTTCATTTTGCAACTCTGACTTGGCATTTGCAAAACTACTCAGTCATCAGTTTGCTCACTCACCCTTGAATCATCATTGATCAATGACTGGGGTGGTTTAGAATCCTTTCCTATATGTGGGGCCATTACCTCATTAATCTTTTTTGCTGCAGGCTCTGGATATTGGCAGGCAGTAGCAAAGGGTGTCTTTGTGCATTTAACAGAGACAAATGCTTTAGCAGTGTCTATTTTAAATGGTCGTGTCACAGAAGGTTTTTCTTCAAAATGTACCTAAAGCAAAATTGTAGCGCTTAGGAGTTGTTAGGTAGGATAAAAATGACCATTCCTCTAACTTCTTCCAGTCATACTCTATTTCTTACCCACTAGACAACCACACTTCCCTCCACGAGAAAACTCCAGTTTCCATAGAACTAGACAGTGAACTGGGACTGCCCTATCAAGTTAGAACATATTTAGGAGCATAGAAATTCCCTTACCAGATCAGTCCAGTAGTCCTTCTAGTCCAGTGTCCTACAATATACAGTAATCAAAAGCATCACAGGAAAGTGCAAGAAACCCATAATGAATGATTATGGAATAACCAATTTAATTTTTTTTTTTATTTTAACCTGGTCATAGCAAAAATATTTGCCTAACCCCAGAAGTCAGTGGTTTGCTAATGGCTGGAAGAAGGTTCATAATCCCTATATTTTTTATCCTATTTAATGTAACTATATATGTTTTCATTATCCATATCAATATCTAATCCTTTTAAAAAAGCCTGTTAAACTCTTTGTTTCAATGATGTGTGACTGTATCAAGTTAATCATGGATTGTGTCGTGAGGAAAAAGTATTTAATATTAATATTTCTTGTAATGTATTGTCTTTCAGTATAGTTGGCTGTACCCTTGTCTTTGTACTGTGAGGCTAAGTAGAAGCACTCAAATTGCCTATACTAGTCAGTTTGCTGTATCTGTATCACATCTTTTTAAACAGTCCTAATGTTTTCAGTCACTCAGTGTATGGAAGTCTTTCCATGATTCTAATATATTTTTTTTAAATCTCTGGTCCCCTTCTGTTTCTGCTGGAGCACATACTCCAGTTCGTCAAGTCCACTTTATGCCTGTGCAGGATATCTCTCCACCAGCAAAAAGCTGACTGAGGTAGCTCTGCTGCCCCGGTCAAACTGGCATCCAAGGAAGATGGGAGATGGCTTGTCTATTTAGTCTATAAGCTTTTTGGGGCCCTGTGTCCTATTATGCATTTGTACAGTTTAAGTAATATCTGTAGGTGCTACTGTAATACAATTAATATTGAGTAGTAGTAATGTGATATTCTGCCTTAATCCAAGCAAGCAGGCCACCGTGAGTTCTAGAATCCCACATATGCTGTGAGCTGCTTCTTTATATTACAGTAGCATTAAAGAACTGCATGGGCTGTATTTGGCCTATTGACCACAGTTTGACCCTCACTTATAGCAAGCATTATGTTGCTGCATTACCGTTCTTAACAATGTTATCATGCAAAAAGGAATGGCCTGGCTTATTTATTTTCAACACAGTTCTGGCTTGATATTTTTGGCCAGGACACAAGCCCTGTTTTTTATAAACACACACACATGAGTGCACATTCCATAGGTATACACATTACACACACAGCCTGGAGTGCTCAGCATGGAGCAACATTTCCAGCGTCACCAGGCTCTTGATTTTATCCCTAGTCTTGCAATATTTGGTGCTTTACTTAAAGCCTCAGCTCCTGGAGTCGGGTGATTTCTAGGCTTCATGTTTTCAAGCCTTTCTCAGCAACCATGAAGGCTAAAGTATCAAAAAGCAGAAGACAATAAGAACCTGAATTTTGTTATAGTTTTCAGCTTTGTGATGTTTTAATCAGTTGAGGATTTGGGGATGTGGCTATGAGGGGTGGGAGAGGACGCCAGGACTTTTAACAGGTGCAGTTAGCCACGCTGCCACTGCATCTCCTTAGTTCAGGTGCTGCTGTGTCAGGGAGGCGAGGCAGCTTGTGCAGGAACGGGAGGAGGCTGTTTGGGGGAAACGCAGCCCTCTCGTTTGCTTTCATTGTGGTCCCCTGCGTGAACGGGATGAGCACAGCAGGTGCGGGCAGGAGCCCAGGGCGAGCTGCCAGCCTGGGCTCAGGCAGGTGGCTGTCCTCCAGGCTGGGCAAGCGCACGCGCGCACACACAACCCACCATGAGCCGAGGCGGCGCGTGCGGGGCCCGGCAGGTGGCGCCGCCAACCGCCACTTCAGCCCTGTCGCTTTTTTTGGCGTCGCGGCAGCCACGCCCCCTCTGGCAAAGGTGAGGCAGTGAGGGGCGGGGTTTCGCCCCGCCCCGCCCCCTCCTTTCGGAGCGGCGCGTGTGGCACGGCTGGCTGCCTGCACAGCTGCCCGCTCGGCTCTCCGGCTCGGGTGCTGCTGGCTCGCGCCTCGACTGTTACCCGCACGGACAAGGGCTGCGCTCGTGCCCCCGCTCCCCGCCATGAGCCCCGAGGAGAAGCCCCCGCCGGGCCGCTCCCGCGGGAGCCGGGCGCCACCGTCGCAACCACCCTGTGGCCGGGGCCGCCGGCGGGGCGGCTTCCTGAGCGAGATCCGCACCGCGATCCGCACCGAGCCCTTCCAGGAGCGCTACAGCCTCAGCCCCGGCAGGGAGCTCGGCAGGTAAGCGACGGGCCGACCAAACCCCTTCCCAGTTACGGGGGCAGCCCGGTCCGCGGAGCCCCCAGCCCGGTCTGTCAGGCAGCTTCTCTCCCCCCAACACCCCCGGGGAAGGGATGAGACGGTCCCGGTGGGCTCCGGTGTTGGTGCACCCCCTGGCTCCGCTCTGCCCTTGCCGGACACTCGGTGCATTGCTCGCCCGCGCGGCGGTGCTGGGGCTCTGCCGACTCTCCCCTGATCGGTGTCACTGGCCTGGGCGCAGGTGGGAAAATGCTCCACGCAGCCCAGTATGGGGGCGCTCCCGCTGGCCCCGCGATTGGCTCTGGTCAGTGTGGTCAAGGGCAAGTAGTGTTGGGCGCTGTCTGCACGGGAGCCGCTCGCCTTTCCTGTGTCCCCCCAAACAAGAGCCAATGCAAAACACTTCTCCTTAATTTACCTGGGGTGTGTGTGTGGTGGTGGTGGTGTTGTTACCTGAACTAGGTCAAATGTGACACAAGGGGAAAAAGACTATTTAAGGGAAGCAAATGGTTAGAGCAGGGTGGCGAAGGCAGTTTTTTTTTTTCTCCAATTATACTTTTCTCTCAGCGTGGGATTTTCACCACTCCTCAAAAAGAAAATAAGTTATGAAAAGTTTTGTTCTGGAAAGTGACTCTTGAATTGTGTTCCATGTTTGTGGCTCAGCTCTTTTTATATTAAGCTTCCTCAGTGTACACATACATTTTGCATTTTGAACTTGGAGACACTCATATTAAAAATAACACTTCTGTCTGAAAGTTTTACCACATCAGGGTGTTGATCATATATGATGACTGTCACTGAAAGAGATTAGAGAGAGAAGTTACTTTCTCTTTTTTTTTAGTTGGCTTCATTTGACAGCACTCTGTGTAGTCAATGACACATTTGTTCCTGTATAGTCAGTAATCCTTTTGTTTGCCTGGGTCTTTCACACAGCAATAGGGAAAAGAAACACTTCCTTTGGAGGGGGGCAAAATAGAGATGATTGTGACTCAGGAACAAGTATAGTTGCTGTTAACTACTTTTTTAAAACTCTTAAAAATTGTCTAGACTTCAAGTTAACTTTGGCATTTTAACAAATCTAATTAATCAGAATATCAGCAAAATATAACAGACATCAATATCTATATAGAAACCTTCTCCTTATATAGGTCTCTTTAATGTAGCAAAGAAAGGTATAATAAGATCCAGCAACTGGAGGCTGACCCTATGTAAATTTGGGCTAGAGATAATGGACAAATTTTAAGCAACCGTAATTAACCATTGGAATAGTTTAACAAGGAATGTGCTGGATTGTCCATCCCAAAATCTTAAAATCAAAATCGGGTGTCTTTCCAGAAAGCACACTCTAGTTCAACCATGAGATAAGGGCTTGTGATGCTGGAGTTACTGGGTGAAGTTCTTTAGCCTGTGTTATACAGGAAGATCAGACTATATGATGATCCATCCTGGCATAAAAAAATTGTTAATTTAAGGTTAATGGGGCTTCATACCTTTGCCCTGTTAATGGGGGGGACGGGTGGGGAAAGTACTGCAATAAACTTTGTATTGTATAATTAGGACAAGCAAATCTCAACAAGATGTCTTTTTACATAGTCATTTACTGATCAAAGCTGTACTTTAAGACATTTTTTTCCATGACTGCTGTGACTCTATACCTGCGATTTTCATTAACTGATCAAGTTAAAACGAATAATGCCTTTTTGGCTTTTTTGTTCTGCAATAGTCTGCAGAAATTTTGGTTCATACTGTCCCCTTTTCAACACCACAAAAGTCTCTGAGATCCTTTTTCCTCATAATATAAAGAGATCATATACTTGAGTTTGTAGATTTAATTTCTTAGCTTAATTCTGAAGATTTTTTTTTAAAGTAGTGCAAAAATTTAAATTGTTGGATCCTGGATTCAACACTAGCATATTCATAAAGAGGGAATTTTTACTCACTGTTGCAAAACAAATGTAGTGAAATTAAAAGGCTCTTTGCCATTTGTCACCATATTGTTATTAAAAACTGATGATAAAGCAGGCTAAATTTCATCTGTGTCAGTTCATAAAAGGTGCTTTCGCTCTGAAATTGAATGCCTATTTTTCTTAATGACTTAAGAGTATGGGTTTTTTATAACACTTGTTAATGTGTCTAACAATAATTCTGCAGATGAATAGCAATCTTATTTTTCAGGCAAAAAGCATCCCTTGTGCACACAAACATGTTGTGTTTATTTTAATCCCTGTTTTTTTGAAGGGGGAATACATTAGATTTATGTGTTTCAAAAGATTACCTGTTCAGCTACTGGGTCAGGCAGCAATCCCACCTTGACCAAATACAGCACATACTGGAATAAGAAGACTAGTTCAGGAAGAAATACCAAAAGAGTTCTGATTTGTTTTTGTGCTGCCTCCTTCAACACACAGATTGGAAAAGTTCAAGAATGAGAATGATTTTACTAATGTGAAGCTTTCCATATTGCAAGTACTGTTCAAATATCAGTACTGTTGACTTTGAAAGCAAATTTTTATGTTCAGATGTTTTCTGCCATTTTAAAACTACTTGAGCTGATATAGGAGACAGAACTGCATTGCAGACTTTATAGAAACTCCTAATCTTTTTTTTATTCCCTTGATTGGAATGCTAGTGGCAGTTTTTGTTCTTTTTATAAAATTACACTAGCATGCAACAGGTCTTTTACTTGAAATCATGGACACATTTATGGCTGTATTGTTAGCTCAAGATATAATTAAGTTTTGTCCCTAACCCCCACTCCCATCCACACATAAAAATCTCTAGTTTGAGTTAGGTGGCATCTTTGGGCTTATCTATGCAGTGCATTAGTCCACACCAGAGGGGTATAAATTCTAGTGCCCACTAGCATGTCGTGCATTAACTGGCCCGTGTGAACGTTGCTGGTGTGCAGAAAAAATTATTTACTGTGCATTAAAGTAGGACTGTTTGAAATGGAACTATATTAATGAATACTGGGGAACTTTTAGTTGCATACCATTATGCCCATCTGGTGGAGAGACACCCTCAGATTTGGGGGTGGTGAGTTAAAGCTCCAGTGATGCTGCTGCTGAAACTAGTAATGCAGTGGGGATGCTGCAGGATGAGTTACAACTTATCTGCTAATCAAATTGTTCTGTGCTGGTAATCAGACCTCGGTAGCTTCAGTGATAGTGTGACAGTATTTTGAAGTATGGTTGCTCTCACTGGAGATAGGCTACCTCAAGTGGCGTAACATGAGTCTACTACCCGTTGCAATTAAGACCATTGTAATAGAAATGCCATTGTAAAATGGGGAGCAATATGCTTTTTAATAAGATTTCTTTGTAGAGATGTTAAATGGTTTTATAGCTATTACAGGTCTGAATACTTACTGTTTCGATTTTTGTCACGAGCCCATTCTATATTGTGAAGCCAAAAGCATATCCAAAAAGGAAACCTCAACCTTAATTTTCCTACAGGTTTGCTTTCTTATTTTTTCTAAAGTTCCTTTTAAAGGTGCTGACTTGCAGTGTTGATTTACATGGATCCTAATCTTTTTGCGAGGAAGAGAGGAGTGTAGCCGTCAGACTAATAGTACTTTTGCAGACAATAATATGCTTATTAAATTTCTAGACAAACTTATACAATTCTTAAGTTTATTGACGTTTTTGTTAAGTGGCCTGGAACTTGCCATGCACCAGATCAAAGCTCATCATCTGCTAATGTCAAAAACTGTTCTGGCTTCTCAAATTGGTCAAGTAGTGTCCACCTGACACTGTGCTGCTTTCTCATCAGAAAGGCAGTTTGTTTTAGTTCTTTCAATTGCCCTCAGAATAGGTTTTCCCTGACAAAAGATTGAAGACATATGGGACTCTAAAGTAAAGTTCTATTGATTCCCTCAGTTCACTTTTTCTTTTGAATAAAAAGGACATACTGAGTCTCAGTTATCATGAACTGAGAATAACAGGCTCTAAAGAAGCACTGAGCAGGTGGAACAGCATAATAAGGAAACTTGGTTTCACACTCTGGACATTTCAAATGTAGAGATGTGACTTCATGTGCAGACTGACACATGCCTTCATGATAGTACCCAGCTGTATAATGAACTTAATCTATCTTAATGTTGTGAGTCTCAGTTCTTGGTCTGTGATACTGGATGCTTGTTGTCCGTCCGTCCGTCCTCCCCCCCCCCCCCCCCAGCAATAAGAATTTGTAACTAGAACATACGCTGAATGTTTGCCACATTTTTGTCTTATGCCTCAGTTATCTGAGACCTTCTTCATACAAATATAACAGGTGTGGAACAGACTCGGGGGATGTGATGGACAGAGACGGGAATGGAGAGAGAAGTTGCTGGCAATTGGACCCATCCCTTGAAAAGAAATTCTGAGATTAAAACCTTCTTGCTAAAAACAGTCTTCTCTCTTACCCGTAACAACAGAAAAAGTGTGGTGTGGGAGGAAATGCACGCCAGACAAATAGCACTTGTGATGAATTAATTCTATAGCTAATTTTATGCAGTTCCGTTCCTTTCAGACAATCTCTTTTTAAGCTTTCTAAAAGATGAATATGCTCATAGAAGTCACTATTAATACTGCACCCACAGTAGTGACAGGAGGTTTTGCAGATCACTTTGAGAAAAGATTACTTAAAGTAATGTCAGATTCTCTGCTGCTCCCTAGCAGAACCCATGACAACCCAAAATGTGGGTAAACATATGATGTAAAGCGTTCTTGCTTCATTTGCAATTACTAAGACTTTTTTGTTTCCTTTCTGTAAGCCAGGATGTGTGCCAATTTAAATAATGCTAATGATGGTGGTAGTGTGAAGAAGTGACCTTGGGCTTTTTAGTTGTGTTATTTCAGAAAAAATCATTTTCAGTTTGAAGTAGGATTTTTATTATGAAGATTGTGTGATAAAACATGAACTGTAGACTAAAAATTAGTTTGCTTTTAAACACGTTCTTTGTCATGTTGGAGTGTGGATGTCTTTATTTCTTACCTAGTATT